ACACACACACACACACACACACACACACACTGGCTGGCTCACACACACACACACACTCTGACTGGCTGGCTCGCACACACACACACACACTCTGGCTGGCTCGCACACACACACACACTCTGGCTGGCTCGCACACACACACTCTGGCTGGCTCGCACGCATACACACACACACTCTGACTGGCTGGCTCGCACACACACACACTCTCTGACTGGCTCTCTTTCTCACACACACACACACACACACACACACACACACACACTGGCTGGCTGGCTCACACACACACACACACACTCTGACTGGCTGGCTCACACACACACACACACACACACTCTGGCTGGCTCACACACACACACTCTGACTGGCTCTCTCTCTCTCACACACACACACACAATGACTGGCTCGCTCTCACACACACACTCTGACTGGCTTGCTCTCACACATTTTTGTTTGCATTGAAACCCACTCAGCCTCCCTACCTTTGGGAGGCTGAGTGAGTCTTTCCTGGGGTCCAGTGGGGCTGCTCTCTTCCTGTATGTGAGGGAGCAGTACTCTGCCTGTAGCTCCTCTCTGCTCCCTCACATTATGACGTCATATTCCGGCTCCCGACATCATTAGAGAGCGCAAGGGAGCAGAGAGGAGCTACAGGCAGAGTACTGCTCCCTCGTGCGCTGCTCATAATGCTCCTGCGGGCAGCTACCTCCTCCATGCTCTTCAGGGCGGGCGGCTGCCTCCTCCATGCTGTTCAGGGCGGCCGCCCACCTCCATGTACCCGCGGGTGGGTGGCTGCCTCCTCCCCTCTGCTCCCATGCTCTTTAGGGCGGCTGCCTCCTCCATGCTCTTCAGGGCGGCCACCTGCATTATTCCCCAAAGCTAGAGAGCTGGCAAATCCCAGACGCCAGGGCGCAATTTCTAGTCGCCGTGGCGATCTGGCGACTGGGATTTGTCGAGCCCTGGTGTAATTCAATCATTCAGTTAGGAAAGCTTTCTCTTACCGTGTGTCTTCACGGTCTTCAGAACCCAGCTGGGCCTCATGTATGCAGTGGACCTCTTTCATCCCCTGAGGGAGGGAGTTGGGTCAAACCCCTGATCGTTGAAGGAGTTACCCTGGCTGGCAACTCATCGAAATGTGCTGTTGCTGGATCTTCAGGGATAAGAGGCTGAACCCTGGCAGGTCCAGAAAAATATTGGCCTGGTGAGCATTAAAAAAATAAAAAATCCTTCCAAACTGCTGTGAAGGACATGAAAAAACAACTGCCTGATTGGAAGGGGGGAGGATCTATTTATACCATCTTCAGGGTTCTATTTCATGTCCTTTCTGCTGTGATTGGAGGAGCTAACCCATGAGTATATGTTGCCATGATTGATCAGGAAAGATAGATATAGATTTTTTTATATATATTTTAACCCCTTAAGGACCCCTTTCTGGAATAAAAGGGAATCATGACATGTCCCACATGACATGTCCTTAAGTGGTTAAAGCAGGGTTAAACGCGCTTCCTCCACAATGACGGAGTAAAATTTGGTCATGTGTGGTTGCAGCTCATTAGAAAGCATTTATTTCAATGTTTTTCTATGAAAATTGGATGCGTGTGCTGTGCTCATTCTCCAATACTCCTCTATGAGGAACATTGGATTGGCCATTAACAGGAAAGCTGGAGGACTTTGCGAGATGTGGAGCAGCTGGCAGTGTCGAAGGTGTCTCTGCTCTGAGAAAAAAATAATTCAAATGTCATATTCAATGTTTATCCATAGAACAGTAGAAGAGCATTTTCTCATTGTTTCAGTGCAGCTGTAAGTTATGTAGGTAATAGAACTCTCCACTCTAAACCATCATGCATATGTAATGTAATGATCGAATGCATGTACCATGTCAGGCTAGAGACAGTTACCCAGCAGCATTATGGTCTGATAAATTTGTATAGGAGATCCCAATGTGTTCTAGTGAACTATGTTATGCTTATTATTAACAGGTTTGGGGATGGAACATTTTGTTAAGAAGGTCGAAGCTGCACACTGTGCCGCCTGTGATATGTTCATTCCAATGCACTCCACTACTCTGCAGCGACATCTTAAGTCTCCTTTACACAACCAGAACTGCAGGGTGAGCTAAATAAGTTACATTGTCTTAGGGCTTGGATCAATCACAAAATATTTCTTCTTATTGATTAGTGGCTTCTTTTAGTTACAGTCCTATTAGGTTTTTTTCTCTTCAACACCGCCCTTTCACACACACTCCCATTTAAATACAATCTGTAGTCCCCAACCTTCTCTCCATCCCCTTCCTTCCACACTCTCCTATTTAAATAACTATTTTTAGTCCCCCACTCCATCTGTATTGCATATATATATTTATATATTAGAATACCCAGTAATCCTTCTTGTGTTTTGTCAACTTTAGATTGATCATATCATGTAATATCTGTGAAATATTTTCTAACCTAATTCTTTCCCTCCTTTAAGAACATGATGGAACAGTCAAAAAAATGTGCTTTGGCTGTGGCAAGAAGTATATTGAATAATAAGCTTATGAATGAGAAATTAGACCGCTATATTAAGGTGAGTTAAAAGATTGTTACCTTCTGCTTTTAAGTAAGTGATGGTTTCCACTGTTGTGGTGAAGATTGAAGTATGTAACAAAATGGTGGAAGGTACGATTGTAATGTGTTTTTTTTCCTGCATTTCTGCAAATTCTGCCAGGGTGAAAATCCTTTTACAGAAGATCGCAAGGAAAATATAAGTGGTAGCAATGTTGCTGAGATGTCTGCAAGCCACAAAGAAGGGGGTGCATCAGCCTCTTCAGCACCAGTGATGGAAGCAGATTGTTCACTTGAGGAAGATAACACTCTGGAGGCTCCTGGAGGCACAGTTTACAAAAGCCATCAATTGGAGGTTCCCCAGAGTACAATGGAGGAAGAGAGCATGCTAGATTCTTTAGCATTGACACAAGAAAATATATGAGGCGACAAAAGAAGTTGATGTAAATGCTTCAGATGAACCATAGAGAGAAACAGGATGTGGAAGAGTTTGTCAAAGGAGAGAACTTTTTTTGAATCCACAAAAAAAGGGTAATTGAAGCCCTATCCCTGAGTGTTCAGTCAAATGTAGCTTGGACTCAACTTGGATGATAACCAGACTACTTAATTACATAAACTGAGGGAAATAGAGGAACAAAATAAAATATAATTGCTTTTCTTTTTTTTCTTTTTCTAGAAACACAATCATTAAAATTGGTTTATTCCATTTCCCCTCTCCCAAATTGGCAATCCAAATAACTGTTAATGTTTAAAAAAAAAAAAAAAAAAAAAGAAAGAAATAAAGTGAGAATTAATGTTTCTATAGAAATAGTTTGGGGTAATTCACTTTTTTCCCATTAAGAGCTTATTTAAAAATGACAGTAACAAGCAAAAATTTAAATAAACTTAGAGGCTATAAAACTTCCACATTTGTAAGCGTGTGGATTAGAGGCAGAAGACATGGTTTTGGCTTGTATTTACAATCTTTTTCTGCCTGATTTAAAGTGTTACTTTATTATCTAATATTCATATTTGCAAATAAAAAAACACTGTCAGTAGCTTGTAATATTGTGTGCAGGTTTTCCAGTTTTATTTTTCACGATAACACACTGTAACACAATATTTCACATTTCAGTCCGCCTTGGAATTTCATCAGGGTGTACTTTTCAGAAAACTGAAAGGTTGAGAATTGAGTAAGGGGTTTTATATTTTAAGACTTAATAGATGAGTTCACAGACCCCTATTTCTGCTATTTAGGCCTAAAATTTGAAATTCTCTGGGCAACAATTGTTTGTTACACTTTGAAGTTGCCACCTTAGTATATCTCCAAGGGTTTAAATAATATCTTATTTGTTGTGGCTACAATTTTCCTTTTTTTAATTTAATTTTTTTTTACATATATACAGAGATACCTGATGACCGGATCATTATATTAAAATATAGTGTTGAGGTGACTGTTCATACAGTATTTAATAATGTCTAATCATAAAATGCAGGTTTTACTTTTTGTACAGCTAGCAGCAGTACCAACAATAGGGTTTTGTTTCTGCACCATCTTACAGGACAGGCAATATAAATAACATTTTTTTAAAATATCCACTTACTATACAGAAACATTTCAAAAACTCCCAGTTTCCGCCAAACACGTCTGAGGACAAGAGTAGGTAGCTCACGCATATCTTTGTATCACTTGCTTCTGCAGTTGGTGAGATAGCAATGGCTTTCTCTCAAGGCTCTTCAATAAGCCAATAGTGCTGGGAAGAATATGGAAGTAGTTTGTCGGTTAGTGCCTGATGGGTGCCTTTATTTCATGAAATAGTGCTTGTTATTCACGACAGGAGCACAGCATGAGCATGTGCAGTTACTGGGTCATTTCTTATGGTGGAAGGCACACAGGGTTTGCAGTGTGTTTCACTGTAATCTGACAACTGCACATGAATGAAATGATTGCTGGATTTTGGCAGCAAAATTCTAATCTTTGACCCATCTGAACACAGTATAACCGAAGAGACAGACCAGTATAGTTCATTTCATTTTAAAAAAAAATTAATTTAGAAAGCTGAACTGTTTAGGTTCATGAAACCCAATACTGATAATCACGGTGAAGTGTCCAGTTGTAATAGCATGGCAGAATTACATGCCATGATGACTTCAGTCCTTTCATTCATTGGTCAGATTAACAACAGACTTGAAACTGGAATCAGCCAAATTGGCCATTGCTCAAGCCTGGTCATGTATGCTTTCCTATGGATCACGGTAATCTATTAGTTCCTTCCAATTCCACTAACACATATATGGTCTCACTGCGCACATGGCTCCCTCTAATATGAGGAAAGATATCCTGGAAGGTAAAGACGTTAACTTGATCTTATTGCTTCCCAGGCCGTTGTAGAAAATAAGATCTAATCTTACAGAGATTTGTCCAGCATTGTGAATTTGTTCTAGTTTTGCACATCGTAAGGAAGAGTTTGACATCTACTTGCACAAGTCTGTGGATCTAGGGCACAAATATGGGGGCTCTGTGTTCTATGATTTTCATTGCTCCTTTTTAGCTAAAGCAGCTCTAGCTCAATTTAACATCAAAACAGACAGGGGCCAGTTGGATACAGAGCTTTTCTGCAGACATTTTGCAGGTCTTCGAACTCTAGCTTGTGTACTCTGCTCCTCAACTCCACATTTTTCCAACCTATGTCATTTTGTAATCAATTTCCCTGCCACTAGCCAACCTTTTTACGAACCTTTCAGCTAGACCAGAACAAATGAAATTAAATTATAAACTAGGCCATCCTCTTGCTTTCGTTGGTAAAGCACAGATTTGTCATTTTAATGCTGGTGCGTTTGGTTTCAGTGCCTGTATACTGTTACATGTATGCTTCAGGGCGGTCTCCAAGTCAATGTGTCCAAGTAAAATGTACCTAAACAATACTTAATATCTGAAAAGATTGTTCTAGCTCTGCTTTTGTTTACTCATCCATCACCTCATTTATCAGAATTCATATTCAGTTTCACCAAAATTTTCACACCAGTAAACGTTCCCTACCCACAGGGATCTTAGAATGTAATTTTAAAAAACTGCATTGAAGGATTCTGTTACACTAGACTCCGAGCCAAAGAATTGGAGCAAGATATTTTTTGATGGGCTAAATCCAATAACTATCGCTACAGGTAAAAGTTCCACATTAAAAAAAACATTTAATTAACCTATTGACCTCTCATTCTACTACTATGCCTAATACAGTTCTCGCTTCAGTAAGCAAATATTGACTGTCATTTAAGCCATTATTTCAACTTGAATTGGCGCCTGGCTAAGTAAAACAGATATTGTGAATGCTTTTAAACTCCTCCCTATTCACCCTCCTTTGTGGCATCTACATGGGGTTTGTGACAGACCTCCTGTACTCTGACAGAGTACCTTCCCCCAGTCCGCTTCCCAGGTACTACAGGGGACTCTAGAGCACTTCCATTCCAGTCGCCAAAGCTTGGCTTGGGTCTTCCAACTGATCAGGCTGCAAATCCCTGCTTCCAGGCAGGTGTTCTCCATCTCTGCCTTTTTAGTTCCTCTCCCAAGCAGGTGTCAACATTTTTGCTTATAGTGATTCCAGCTCTCAGGCCTAACTCTTTTGCACTTATCCCAGGGTAGCTACAGGGACCCTGCAGCCAGCAACAGGTCTGAGGACTCTGTCACTGGGATCTCTGAACAAATCCACACAGGACAGGACGCACCCTATCACAATAACCCCCCTAATCCTGTCACACCCCAAACTCTGTTACACCCAACCTCTCTTACTCTTCCCCACTCACTCTATTACATTAACTCCTCCAACAATGCCACACTCACCTTGTCACAGTAGCGCCTCTAATCATGTCACACTCACCTTCCCTTGTCTTGTCACACTCCCTTCTCCAACCATGTCACACTCATCCTGTCACATTAAATCCCCTTAATTATGTTACATTCACATCTCCTCAGTCTGTCACATTCCCTCCTCCAACCATGCTGTGTACTCCAAACTTGTAATACTAACCCCCCAACCATGCCACTCACCTGATTACATTAACCGCTTCAATCCTGTCTCACTTATCCCCCCCCAACTATGCCACTCACCCTGTCAAATTTATGTCCACTCGCCCTGTCACACGCTCTCTTCCAACCATGACATACCCTCCCTCATTCTGTCACACACCCCATCCATCTCATTCACCCCCCTCGTCCTGTCACACTTACCTCAATGTGACATTTTGGTATTGATTTTGATCATATGACCTATCATTAAAAAAAAAAAAAGTTAATTTCCAACAGCTGTGGCTTTTTAAATTGCAATTAGTGTCTGTGTATAAATAGTCAATGAGTTTGTTAGTGCTCATGTGGATGCACTGAGCAGGCCTAGATACTGAGTCATGGGAACATAGAAGAACTGTCAAAAGACCTGCATAACAAGGAAATGGAACTTTATAAAGATGGAAAAAGATATCCAAAGCTTTGAAAATGCCAGTCAGTACTGTTCAATCACTTATTAAGAAGTGGAAAATTCAGGGGTTTCTTGATACCAAGCCAAGGTCAGGTAGACTAAAAAAGATTTAAGCCACAACTGCCAGTAGAATTGTTCGGGATACAAAGAAAAACCTCAGGAGAAACCCCCATTATAAATGTTAAGCAAACTGCCTAAACAGCTGTAGGAGATTTGGGGGAAGGAGTCCCTAATATCATGCTGGTAATAGACTAGTATCTAATCCCACCACAAATTGCTCTTGATAAAGGCGACTTGTTTCGCCGAAACGAGCGTTGGGCACAGTACTAAAGCGGATGATGATTTTAATTTAGGATTCTATTTTGTTTTCAGACTGTCCTATCGGGCACTGTACTAAAGCGGATGATGATTTTAATTTAGGATTCTATTTTGTTTTCAGACTGTCCTATCGGGCACTGTACTAAAGCGGATGATGATTTTAATTTAGGATTATATTTTGTTTTCAGACTGTCCTATCATTTATTTATTTATGGTGGGATTAGATACTAGTCTATTACCAGCAAGATATTAGGGACTCCTTCCCCCAAATCTCCTACAGCTGTTTAGGCAGTTTGTTTAACATTTATATTGCTGGCTATTTAGACTGCAGGCTTTTTTCCTGCAATGTTGCAAACATATTTTGGTAGATCTTTTGCACATATATATATATATATATATATATATATATATATATATATATATACATATATATATATATATATATATTTTTGTGCACCTGATATACTCTTTGTTCTAATTATAGAGTTTATATACTTTTGCATTTAGAGATCTTCAGTTTGCTACATTTAGTGTATCTCCCCCCTTTTTGGTCATATTTATTTGCTACTATTTATGGCAATTCTGCCACACACATACTTATAGCATTTCTTCTGACCATATTACTATTACCATTATTTTTGGACTAGTCGATTCTATCCAATTAGATCCTAATTTTATTACTTGTTTGTTTAGTATCTGTGTGTTTCTCCCCCAAGAGGGATTAATAAAGAGTTTTTTGTTTTTTGCTCTCTGTGCTCCACTTTTATATTTATAATTGCAGAGTAGCTTTTTTCATATAAGGATACAAGGTCTTTTTGGGAGGCAGATTGTTTACAATCTGCAACCCATTAGTCCTATTTTCTCTTTGCACTTCTAGGGGTTAGGCCCCATTGTATCTCTCAACCATCACAACCTTGGCGGATGGATTTGTTCCATTCCTAACCAGTGCTGTTTCTTTATAGTGAAAAGAATACCACCCCCATTGTGAAGCATGATGGTGGCTCACTGATTATTATTTTTTTGGGGGGGGGGAGAGGAATGAGTCCTAAAGGCATGGGGAATCTTGTGAAAAATTGATGGCAAGATGAATACAGCATGTTATCAGAAAATACTGGCAGACAATTTGCATTCTTCTGCATGAAGGCTGCTATTGGGACGCCCTTGGACTTTCCATCATGACAATGACCCTAAGCACAAGGCCAAGTTAACCCTCTAGTGGTTACAGAAGAAAAATGTGAAGGTTCTGGTGTGGCCATCACAGTCTCCTGACCTTAATATAATCAAGCCACTCGGGGGAGATCTCAAATGTGCTGTTCATGCTAGACGACCAAAGATTTTGCATGACCTCGAGGCATTTTGACAGGAAAATGAGCAGCTATAACACCTGCAAGAATTAGGGGCCTCAAAGACAATTATAAAAGTCTGCACGCTGTCATTGATGCTATAGGGGGCAATACACAGTATTAAGAACTAAGGGTATGCAGACTTTTGAATATGGGTCATTTAATTTTTTTCTTTGTGGTCATGTTTTGTTTTTTGATTGTCATTCTATTATAACCTACAGTTGAATATGAACTCCATCAGAAATAAAAAAAATGTTTTGCCTGCTCACTTTGAGCACACCTACATATGTATGCATCTGTGTGTATATCTGTGTAAGTACGTATGTGGCAGTGTATGTTTGACTGCTAGGATGTATGCACATACAAACATCAACACAACATGCAAACCCATTCCTGCAGTCTAACACAAATATGACATAAAACACACCCCTGCATTCAAACTCCAAAATGATATACAAACACACTCCTTCACTCAAACAGCAATACTACACACAAATATACATTGTGACAGAACGCTGTCACGGAGTACAATATCCCCATGTGCCCGCTGTCTATTTCTATGGGGGGGAATATGTGATGCTTGGTCTGATTTGTTTGGCGTGAGCCACAAGCTTGCGGCGCCATTTTGGGGATTGTATTACATGTGCCTCTATATGCAACTGTGGGTCAACAAACGTCGGTCCCCAGCAGCAGTGTGTGTTCGTGGGAGTGGAGACGGTCGGTCTCTCTCCCCAGCAGCGGAGTGAGATCCAAGGGGAGATGGAGGAATGCTTGCCCTCTCCCCAGTATCCCGAGCAGCGCCCGGGGGGAGAGCACAGTCAGCTCTCCACCCCAGAAGCCAGCAAAGTCCCTAGGGAGACACAGGAAGCGGAGCCGCGACTTACACCCAAAACGACACCCATCATCCTCAGCCAACCAGGGAAATGGCAGGGACACATGTGTTTGAGTGGGGAGTTTTGCGGGCTCAGGGGCCCCTGTGTACCCTGGGCTGGGTGGCCTCCCTGCTTAAGTCGCTGTATGTCTGTCACCCTGTACCTAGGAGGGTAAGGGGGCAAAACCAGCCAGACCCCAGGACTGTAGGGGCTGGCTGAGGACAGTTTCTGTGCGGGCATGGCACTCACAGACTATGTCCACACCAGACAGCAGCGAGCTGATCCTTGTGGATCATGCTGTGGCTGTCGGAGGTGGACAAGGGGGAGATGTGTGACGGAACACCGTCACTGAGTGCCATGTCCCCATGTGCCCGCTGTCTATTTCTATGGGGGGAGATATGTGATGGATGGCCTGATTTGTTTAGCGCAGGCCACAAGCTTGCAGTGCCATTTTTGGGACTGTTTTACATGTGCCTGTAAATGCAGCTGTGGGTCAACAAGTGGGGGGGCAGGGGAAGGCAGCAGCTCTGTAAAGTATAGTTAAGTGAAATGTATTGCTTGTCTGTGCCCCTCCCCCTCCTTTTTCCTGTCACAGCAGGATGTGGTCACAGGGACACTGCCAGCCCAGTTTGAACTGGCTGCTTTGTCCCTCTTCCATCCCCTTATCCGCTTCATGGGATTAAAACCCCTGGTGTGTTGTGCTGGAGACCCCATGTAGGGGTCTGCATGTAAAACCATGTGTGACAAAATAAACAGAGTAAGTCAGTGTTGTACCCTCAGAGCTGTGTGTCATCCAGTTACTGAGGGAAAAAAATGATGCCTTCTTGTTGTAAGGGTTCCTGAACGGCTGAAGGAAGGCGTTAGCCGAGGGAATAGGTTGGGTTACCCGGGGTCCGCTACATACATCCTCATTTAAAAGCCAACAACACACCCCTGCAATCAAATGCAAACATACATACAAACAGTACCCTATATTAAAAATGAAATACACTAAAATTATATACAAGCACCTCTTCATTCAAACACCAGTACAACACACAAGTACACCACTACATTTCAATGGCAACAGTACATAAAAATACACTGGAAATCTCCAACAGATGGAGATCTACCTTTTGGCCACACTTGCAGTAGAGACAGGCCTGAAAACGTTCTTGCACATGGGCCCTCTCTACATTAGTTCCACCACTGGGATACTCAGCATGAGGTGCCTGGATTAAAGAGCGGGACACAGGTTCTGATTCTGCCTGGGTCTGTGAACAACCAGTTGTATGCCTCTAAAACTGATATGATATGCCAAAACTATGCCTCTAAAACTGCCATGATATGCCAAGTTTATGCATCTAAACTGATTGCCATGGTGTGCCAATTTTATGCATCTAAACTGATTGCCATGGTGTGCCAATTTTATGCATCTAAAACGGTCATTGTGTGCCGATTTTATGCATTTTCCAATGATTGTCATGATGTGCTAAGTTTATTAATCGAAAGCTCATTTCCATGATGTGCCAAGTTTATTCATTCTTAAAATATGCATTACAAGCGAGTGGGTTCCGAAAAACTGCTGTTTTCAAAAGTGGCTCTCTGCCTATAAAAGTTTGGAAAGCCCTGCACTATACGATCACATCAAACAGTCCCTAACCGTAGAACACGCTTGACTCATAAGTAAGGCAATAACAAATTAAATAAAAGCTAGGCATTTATCTATTATAACAAATCATATATCCCATGGATATTACAGGTAGTAGTATTGCTACAGGAGTAATCTAACTAGAAGGCCCTGAGCAGGGCCGGTGCATCCTATAGGCGAATTACGCAGTCGCCTAGGGCGCCATTAGGAGCACCGGTCGCTCAAATGCAGCCGCCGAAACGCTCTATAGAGAGCCTCTGGCGGCTGCAACACTGTGCAGTCCGGCGCATTCATTAGGGATCGGCAGGAGGGAAGTGCCCAGTGCTCACTCCTGCCAGTCCCTCAGTGTAGTGTAGCTGAGCTCCAGTCCAGTTCGCAGTACAGGAGCTTTTGTTTCCTGTACCCGATTCCTGTTCTCTCTTTCACACTATACACAATGCTTCCCTATACATACACAAACACACAATGAATCCCTACACACACAGAAACACACCATGCTTCCTTTACACACACACATACAATACATCCCTTGCACACATATACAGAAACACACAATGCATCCCTTACACACACACACACAGAAACACAATGCACCCTTTACAGACACACACACACTGTGCATCCCTTACATACACAGAAACACACCTTGCATCCCTTACACATACAAACACAGATTCACACAATACATCCCTTACACACAAACACACACTGCTTTCTATCCCTTACACAAAAACACACTGCATCACCTACACAAACTGGTATCCCTATACACTACATTCCATATGCACACACTTTAGATCCTCTAGAATAAGACATAACACATCCCCTAAACACAGGGCTGGCGCTACCTGTAAGGCGACCTAGGCAGCCGCCTAGGGCGCACCTTAGCAGGGGGCGCCGGATCCCTGCGCCCGGCGGCTCCTCATGCTGCGCCGCCTGAGCGCTTTTACAAGCCTCAGGCGGCGCAGCACTGCTGTGGAGGGCGACCGGATTTGAGTGACTGGCAGGAGGGAAGCGCAGAGCGATCCCTCCCGCCGGTCTCTTAATGTAGCGTGGCCGGGCGGCGCGGAACGCTGGACAGGAACCTCTGTTTCCTGTACCCGGCCGCCGGCGGACTGACAGGAAGTGCTCACTGAGTGAGCACTTCCCTGCAGTCCGCCGGCGGCCGGGTACAGGAAACAGAGGTTCCTTTCCCGCGTTCCGTGCCGCCCGGCCACGCTACATACACGGGAGGAAAGAGGAGGGCAAGGACCACCAGGGGAGGGGAGGGGGGGTAAGTAAGGACCACAGGGGGAGGGGGGGTAGGCAAGGACCACAGGGGGGTAAGGACCACCAGGAAGGGGGGTATGGACCACAAGGGGAGGGTGGGGGAGGTAAGGACCACCAGGGGAGGGGGGTAAGGACCACCAGGGGGGGAGGGACCACCAGGGGAGGTAAGGACCACCAGGGGAAGGGGGGATAAGGACAGGAGGGGGAGTAAGGACCACTGGGGGAGGAGGGGGAGGTCCACTAAGGGGTCTTGGAGAGGGAGGACCACTAAGGGGGGAAAGGACCACCAAAGGGGGGTAAGTAGGGAGGACCACTAAGGAGAGGGGAGGAGGGTAAGGACCACTAAGGGGGGGGGAGAAAGAGGATAATGACCACTGAGGGGGGAGATTATCACTAAGGGGGTTGGGGGAGGAGGGGAATGTCTACTAAGGGGTTTGGGAGAGGGAGGACCACTAAGGGGAGGGATGGAGGACCACTAAAGGGGAGAGGGGGGAGTGAGAAGACCACCAGGGGGGGACTACAGGGGGCCAAGGGAGAGCACTAAGGGACAGGAGGGAAGGGGAAATCCAATAATTGACAGGAGGGTGAGCACTATGCAAAAAATTAAAAAAATAAAGAGCTGCTCCCCTCTCAGTCTCTATCCTACCCCACAAACCCTCTCTTTTACACTACACACATACACAATGCATCCCCCCCCACACACACACACACCGAAACACACAATGCATCCCTTACGTTCACACAAACTCATTCTCTTACACACAGAGACAAAATGTATCTCTTACACAATCAATGCACCCCTTACAGACACACACTGCATTCAATTAAATACACAGAAACAAACCTTGCACCCCTTACATCAGGGCCGGACTGGGGATTCCAAAGCAGCCCTGGAAAAAAAATCTATGCCAGCCCCATAAGTCATTGCGCCATATATTGTCGCATTTACTATGTAAGGCTATGTCTTGCCACCCTAGACGATTGAGAGATATATATATCTTTTTCCAATATAAAATATTGGTCATTTCAGAGTAAAATATTTAATTACACAGTAAGCATACTCACATGCAGACACAGACCATCTCACTGACACAAGATGATTGATACACAGCCTCATAGACAAACAATCTCACTGATATACATAAGGTCATTGACATAAAAACACAAACTCACTCAGTAGCAGGCACACACACACACACACACACACACAAACACAAGCAAGCCCACTCACTAGCAAGCGTGCACACACACAGCTTAATGTAGTGGCTCTGGTGTCTATAGCCTGTCCCTGCAGGCTTTTCAATGTAAACACTGACTTTTTAGAGA